CTCAGGAGGCTGAGGCGGGAAGATTGATGCAAGTTCGAAGCCAGTCTGGACTACACAGTGAGTTCAAAGTGAACCTGAACTACATATGAGACTCTGTCTCAGATAGATAGATAGATAGGCAGGCAGGCAGGCAGACAAAGACACAAAAAGGGCTGGGAATGCAGCTTAATGCAAAGGCCCTGGGTTTAATCCCCAGGACTGCAAAATAAATGAATGGATCAATCAATAATTTATTAATTTAACATAGCAAAAATAAACCCATTATCCCTTCGAATAAATAACATATGCTTATGAGAGATAACTGTATTTTTCAAAAGAAAACAATGTCACATTGGTCTCTCTTTTTACAGATTGCAAAAGTATCTGTTCTCGCAGGAGGAGGCTGGCTTCTGGGGGCCCCATCAGCAACTCCTTTGCAGATGGCTGAAGCTTGTAAAGAAGGCCTGGCCCACATCAGATGCAGCTGGTAAAGTAAAGCCCCCTGAAGGGATGTGGGCAGTTTCGAGTCCTGCTGGTGTACGGAAAGTATGACAGCTGTATTCCGGGGCTGTTCAACTTGAGCGTCTTGGATTTAAGTTTCAGGTGTGTGGGCAAATCACCTGCCCTCCCTGTGCCTCAGTTTCCTCCAGACCAAATGACTTGTTTCCTGCAGAGCCGCAACAGCTGTGCATGGCTCGTGGCTCATAGTAAACGCAGACTATTTCCATCACAGCCATGCGACATTTCTTTGCATAGGGAATGCGTTCCAGGAACAGCCTCATCCGGCCATTTCTTTACTGTGGAAAATCACAGCCTGTACCTACACAAATTGAACGGCTATGTTGGCACTGGGCAGTGTCCTCTTATGGGTCCAAACTCGTGCCTGTGGCCCATCGCTGACCCAACCGCTGTTATGCGGCATCTGCCACTAAACGGGAGCTCCCTTCCTTGAGGCAGGGCAGCCACTCAGAGACAATCCTCCATCCGCCGAGAACAGCTGGACTTCTATGTGGTTGTGCTGACCCCTGGAGCCCCAGAAGACCCGGCTAAGCCTGGCCTGTGCCCCAGGCAGCCAGGTGTGTGTCAGTCCCCAGCACGTGGGACGGAGTGTACCTGCTTGGTGCTGGACATGTCCGCCCTGGCAGCTGGCGATTAGACGGCCACTCTCCGAAACACACCAGGCCTAATCAGCCAGCCAGTAATGACCAGGCCTGGAACGTGGCCGCAATTCAGGAAAGATGATCCCCAAAGACGAGAGCCACTTAAATCCTGGCAGTGGCCGCGGGTCCCCTTGGTAACCCGCAGCGCTCAGCACGACTTGGCCACTGAGCTAATTGCTGTTCTCTGAGATGGTTGGCTGGGCTCTAATTGCTGACATCCTCCAGGTGAGAAGCCCTGCATGTTCTCCGGCCACCCGGGAGCCCTTGCAGGAACCGAGTGGCTCAGAAAACCAGACCTCTGCGTTTAATCAAAGTAAGGTTTGCAGAAAGAATTAATTACAAGCTTGAAGCAAGTTGTGACACTGGGATATTTCATAGCAAGGCAGGAGGGGTGGCTTGGCTGGGGGTAGGGCAGCTTCTTTTTGTAAAATTATAGATTTATTTATTTATAGTATCAGAAATCGAACTTGTGCTTGCCAGCCAGGCTCAACGCCACTGAGCTAAATCTCAAGCCCCTATTATAGATATTTATGTGTATATTTGGAGAGTGGTATGCGGACAGAACCCAGGGCCAGACCCCACCTACGCTTCCACTGTCCAGCATCCCACAGCTGCTCAAGTAGGGACAGCATGAGCAAGAGTCACAGCACTGTGAGCCAGGTGTCTCCATGAGTAAGGAGGGGCTGCCTGTCAGCAACTGTTGCTGTCATGAAGCACTTGAGACAGTGAACTTGGAAAAGAAGGGTCCTTGGCTGGCCGCTTAGGAGGGTCTAGGTCATGGTCAGGTGGAGGCATCTGTCACAGCTGAGTGGATGCTCCTTGAGTCAAGGAGCAAAGAGGAAGAGAAAGTCAGGGTCCCACTATTTTCTCTGAGGATCCAGTGACTGGGACCTCCCACTGCCCCTCTCCTAATGGCTGCACAGCCTCTTCAGGGCAACCTGTGAGGGACATGTCCCCACCAATGGGCTTATGGAGACCCCCCAGATCCAAGCTCAGGCGGGAGAGTTTGGGTGGAGTTGGGCAGAGCCACCTGGTATCCTCTGAGGAGTCTAGAAGGTGGGTAGTTGGGTAGTTGGTTGCCATGCAGGGCTGGATATGAGCCCCAAGCTCCAGAGCCTACACAGCTTGAAGCCTGGACCACACAAACCCAGTGCAGCTTCCTTGAATGTCTGTACCATCAGCTGGGCGTGCGTGGCCCTGTCCCAGTCATGGGTACACAGGATAGTGAGGGAGGAGCTACTAATGAACACTCAGCAGGGGTTACAGTGTGGACACTGTTGGCCCTGTCCCTGCAGGTGTCCCCTGGGTGTGCAAGCAGTGGTACCCTGCATTCTTGCCTAGGGGATTCTGGGGGCTCCCAGGACCAGCAGGAAGCGCAGGGAGCTCCTGTCCCTAAAGAGCCACGACCCTGCTGGGTTATAGCAGAAAACAAGGTGACAGCTCCTCACCGGCCCAGTGGGACAATTCTGGGACACTCTCATCCCCTCCTTAGTCCCTCCCACTCTCAGCCACAAGCTGCTTTGTCCCATCCAGGGAGCCCTTGGTTCAAGGATGGGTTCTGAGGCAACTGGCCCTAGACAGATAAGCATGCACTCGCTGAGCTGTGAGGAAGGATAAGGGTGGTGGGAGAGACAACCTGGCAGGTGGGGACCAGGGCCACACAGTGGGCAGCTCTGGAGCCACCCTTTCTGATTGGTCAGGCCCCACATGCTGATTGGTTATTGCCTGTTTGATGTTTTTCATGCTGTTGGTCTGAATTTGGAATGTGGTTTCAGGATTGCTGGGTGCTGTCCTAGTCACCTGGAGGCCACTGGTAGGAGGATGGATACTCACAGAACTTATCCTGGTGATAGCTATGCCAGTGGTGAAGTAACTTTAAAAATCATGCAACTGAGTGGCTGGGGATTTAGCTTAATGGTGCTGCTGCCTGCCTTGCAAGCACAAGGTCCTGAGTTTGATTCCTGATACCCCCCACAGAAAAAAAATCACTAAATTGTATTCTTGAAATGGGTAATTTCTTTCTTTCTTTCTGTGTTTGTTTTTCTTTTGTTTTTTTGGTACCAGAGATCAAACTCAGGACCTTGCACTTGCAAGGCAGGCACAGTGCCACCAAGCTAAATCTCCAGCCCTTTGCATGTTTGTTTTGAGTCTCACTGTTACCCAAGCTTTTCTTGAACTCCTGGGCTCAAGTAATCTCCCTGTCTTAGCCTCCTACACATTAAGTTTTTGTTTTGTTTTTTTTGTTCAGCAGTACTGAGATGGAACCCAGGGCTTCAAACATGCTAGGCAAGGGCTCTACCACTGAGCTACACCCCTCAGTCCCTGAAATAGATACATTTTATGATACATACATAAGATGTGATCCAAGAAAACACTTTGGTAGTTCCTCAGTAAATTAAGCAGAGTTGTCATATAAGCCAGCAAATCTGCACCTGGGTATAGTCAAAAGAATTGAAAACAGGTATTCAACAAAAATGCACATACAGTACAAGTGTCGTAGTAACATTGTTCACAATAGCAGGGAAGCCCAACCTCTGATGAGTAACCAGTATGGTCTATCTATACAGCAGGATACCCCTTGGCTATACAGAGGAATGAAGCGCCAGTCCATGCTTCAACACTGTCTTAGTTACTTTTCTCTCGTTGCTGAGAGAACACCCAACACCCAAAGTTAAAGAGGGAAGGTTTAGGGTGACATATGGCAGACAGGCAGAAGGTAGAAAAACGAGCAAAGGACAACCACAGCTCTTTCTATCCCTTATATCCCATCCAGACAGGTAGCACACAGACTCTTAATCCTAGTGTCCTTGATCCTAGCATTGCACCATGAATCAATCTCAGTGTCACATACTCTAGACCCAGCCACCTCTGAAAAAGCCCCGCCTATGACTGCATGGACTGGGGGTGTGGCTCAGGTAAAGTGCTTACCTTGCATATGCAAGGCCCTGGGTTTGATCCCCAGCACCTCAAAAAAAGTATTCTAATTAAAAGAAGCTACATACAAAGGCCATATATTATATGATTCCATGTTTATGAAATGTATAGAATATGCCAATTCACAAAGGCAGAAAACAGGCCTGTTCTAGGAGCTGTGTGTGGACCATTCCATCTCCTTCAGCCTCAGACAGCCATGGGGGTACAGGGATCACAGGAAAGGACTGAAGTTCCACCCGGCTTAGCCATCATCCAGGACAGAAGCTGATGCAACCTTTCCACAAGGGTACACTGGAATGATGGTGCACAGGGCAGAGGGGAGTCAGTAAGTAGCTGAAGAGGAAATATACTCAGCACTAATAGGGTGAGACAAGGTGGTCTGTCCTTGGCACATGGTGTGATGTGTGTTTATTGTTGCTGGTGTTTGTACAGACGTCTTAAAGCTTCTGGATTTAGATGTCTTCGGGTGATGGCTTCCATATGCCCCCTTGCCTCCCTCCTGTCCTGCACCCAGCTGCCCCTGACTGGCTCCAGAAGTCCCTGGTTTTGATCTCCTGATGGCAGCCAGGTCCTCTGCCAGTGTCATGCCTGCCTGTTAGTAGGCTTTCAGATGCCACACAGTGCCAAGGACAGCAACAGAACAGTGAATACAGACCTGAGCCACACTCACCCACCCTCTGGGTGGGACCCCGAATGTTCCCTCCACTCCGGGCTGCACCTGGCTTGGTGTCTTCAGCTAGGCACTGCTTCTCCAGCTCTTGGTTTTCCCAGTGTCCCATGCCTTCCTCTCTCCCGTGCTGAGGGCTCTCACCTTCAGCATCCCTGATTCCCTGCAACAGAGCAAGGAGCTCCCCCACCATTTAAATCCCCCAGGAGACCTGCACAGAAATGCAACCACACAGCTCAAGATGATCCAGTGGGCACTTTATTGTCACTGGGATGATAGGGAGAGGGCAGGGTGCCTAGAGGGCTACACACGAGCCACGGCTTCCAGGGTGACATCTGTTCCCGAACACCTCTACTTCCATAGCCACGTGCAGCTCTGGAGTTTCCTAGAGTGATGTTCCAAGGGAGTGCAGCACGGAAAGGCTCTGCCCTCCTATGGGAGGAGCCTGGGGGGGTGCTGGGGAAGGGCATGCGCCACCAGGAGTCTGGCTACATGCAGCAGGGGACAGGAGCTGGACATGGACGTCTTGGCACCTGCCCTCTGTAGGGATCCCTTAGATAGGGTGGAAGAAAGGGACTCAGTTGTGGGCAACATGGGTTTTTTCCTTCTCATCTGGCTGTTGTGTCCCTGAAGGGAGGGGCTCAGGTGTGCAGTTGGGATCTAAGGAGGGGCTGGGGGGGTTATGAAGAGCCGTGGGTCAGATGTCCTCTGACCCCAACTCCAGGCCCAGGAAGCGGTGCTCATGCCTCAATGGGCTCCCTAGCCCAGGACGCTCGCCGCCCTGGGTGCTGCCGCTTCTCGTGGGCCCCCCGGCTCTGCCTCAGGTCATCCAAGAGCCCCAGCAGGAGGCTGGCTTGGCCACAGGCACCCTGGGGCCCACATGGCCTTCCTAGGGCCCTCTTGCCAGGGTGCTGGCGCTTCTTGGGTATTGGTGCCCCCTCTCTGTCCTCCTCTGTATCCTCTTCTTCCCAGCTCCTCTGGCTGTGGGGATCCACCAGCCTTCGGCCTGGGTGCTGCCTCTTAGTGATCACGTATTCCAGCCAAGGTGAGCGCCGGCCAGGATGCTGCCGCTTTTGGGGACCCGCGGCACCGCCTTCCTCCTCCTCCTCCTCTTCGGGCCCCTCCTTGGTGTCCTCCTCCCTTTTGCCTGGGTGCTGACGCTTGGAGAGCCAGTCGGGCTGCAGGACCTGAGACTCTGGTGGAAGAAAGCAGCCATGAAGGACCTGTCTGAGTGCCCCTCCCAGGGACACCCAGGGGGTCTAAGCCCTGCTCTGCCCTCACCACCCCCTCCCCTCCTGTGTGACCCTTGGGTAGGCAAGCAACTTCTCTGAGCCTCCATTTCCTTGGTTGTAAAGGGACACAGACAGCACCAGGAGGCTGCCAGCAAACTCAAACATGACCAGTGTTTAAGTGCCCAGGAAACAGTACTTACAACTGTCACACAAGGGGTGGGGGTGGGGGGTACCCAGAGTCCAGAAAGGTCCATTCTGGGCAGAATAGAGGAGGAAGCTAATCCTGTGGGGAGGAAACAGGAAAGGTGGGAGCCCCCCACTCACCATGCTCCACGGGCACTCCTGGCAGCCCCTGGAGGTCTTCCTGGAGGAGGAGCAGGCGCTCTGCCTGCTGCAGGAGGTCATCCAGGCCGGGACCCTCAGCCACCATCACTGCTTCAGGCTGAGCATGGCCCCCCAGGACATTGGTCAGGATCAGGGCCAGGGCCAGGGTGAGGGGCCAGCAGGGGCCTGACATGGCAGCCGTCTAGGGACAGGGAAGGGAGAGCTTAGCGTACCTCCTCCTGCTCCTGGCTCTCAAGGCTGCTCCCTCCTGAGGAGGATCTCTTGCTCCTCCTGTCCCCTGTCCCGTCCCAGTCACCTGTCCTGGTTCACAGGGACCCATTCTGCTTCTTACCCTGTCATGCTGTCTGGCTTTCCTCAGGCTCCAGGCTGCGTCCAACACCCCCCACCCCAAGCCTCTTATTCCGACGCCCCCTCCCTTCCGACCAGGCTCCGGGAAGCGCTCACATGAGCACTGCGGTCCCCGTCACCTGGAGACCCGGGTTTGGAGCCCCATTCTGTGTGCAGCTCCGGTCCAGCGTCAGAGCCTCGGAACCCTAAGGCCAGAGTGCAGACCCGTGGGCAAGGACCCCCTGCTAACACTGGACTCTGGCAAGCCCGCTGGTCGGGTCCAGGTCCTCTGCGCTGTCACCTCAAGTCGGGTCCGGGGCCAGGGTCCTGCAGGCTGAGGGCTGGGATCCCAACTGCAGAGGCTCTGGGGCTGAAGGTCTGGGGTGGAAGATTGGGTCCAGGTGCTGTCTTCGTCCAGGTGAGGTGTCTGCTGCCGGCGCTGTCCCCTTTATATGCGCGCGCGGGCTGGGGAGGGGCTGGGAGGGGCGGGGTCCGCAGTCTTGGGGACGCTCGGTGGGCGGAGGGAGGGTGGCAGGGAGGGACTGAGAGGAGACAAAGGAGCAGACGCAAAGGAAGGGACCCGAAGGCATGGGGAGGGGGGACCAGGCTACAATCTCGCGCCTCCCCATCCTCTCCTTTTTTTATCTGTATGATGGGCGGAAAGGGCCATTGTCAGAATTCCAAACAAGTGGCCTTCGGGTCCGTCCAGGTCTTGGACAGTTTTATTTGATTCCCACAATGTTTGAAAATATCTGAAGAAACATCATTTTAAGATCAGGAGAAAAATGGGTTTATAAGCCAGGCATGGAGGTTCACGCCTGTAGTCCTTCCAGCACTTAGGAGGACTGAGGCAGGAGGATCGCTGAGAGTTCAAGGCCAACCTGAACTATGTAGTGAGACCCTGTCTCAAAAAAAAAAAAAAAAAAAAAAAGTATTTATGGCTTCTGCTGAGAAAGAGGGAGGGCAAGTTCCCAGCTGAGGAGGGCAGTAGGCTGCACGGTCACCTCCCAACCCTCCCCGGTGTCCCAGGGCTGCCTGTCTGGGAGGAAGGGAAGGTGGGGTCTGCTGGTGCACCCCATCCAGGCAGAGGAGGGGACAGACAGTATGTCAGAAGCGAGTCCCCAGCTAGTCCCCCAGGGTCTGGCCCTCGAAGGAGGTTGGGGAGACCACAGGGCCAATGTGCCGGCAGAGGTTCAGTCCTATGTGTCCATGAGTTGGCGATACAGATGCCCTTGAGCGGGGCACAGCTCCAGGGGCTCAGGAGTTGAGGGAGGAGGCTGGGGTGCTGAGGGTCCCCACAAGGTGATACCGACCTGACAGTGTGCAGGTGTGAGGTGCTGAGGGGGGAGCCAGAGCCACAGGGCTTCAAGAGGCGTACAGAAGGTTTCCTGGGGGGATAACAGAGAATGAGCCACCCCCCAGAGGGCCCCAGGCTTTGTTCAGCGGTAGCCCCTACCCTGGACGTTGCAGGCTGTCCTGTCCCTATGTATGGCTGTTTCAATCCCAGCTGAGCTGAGGCTTATCACAGCCCTGCACCCGCCATGCTGACTGTCTTCGTGAGATGATGGCTTCTTCTGTGGTGCCCAGCTGACCAGGCACGTCCCCACCCACCCCTGAGTGTGACTTCTCGTCTCAGGGCACCCTCTCAGGGCACGGAAGGCGAGGCAGAGACTGGTCTCAAGTCACAGATGGCTGGGGCCAGGAGGCAGTGGCTCCAGTGGCAGAATCCTCTCCGGGTTTCCAGGGAAGAAGCCAAGGTCCAGAGACATGGCCTGCCATGTTCCATGGCTCCCAGGGTGGATGGGCGACCCCCCTAGCCAGATACCAGGTCCTCAGAGTCCCCACCCTCAACAGTCAGGAAGTCATACCAATGCTGTTCCATTCAAGGGGAGGTGCACAGCAGAACTGGCCTCAGGGTGTGGTCTGAAATGTGCCTCGTGTGCCTTCCACCAGACAGTTCCACCCTACAGCCTCTCCCCCAGCTTCCCCGTCCCAAGGAAGCACACTTGGGGACACTCGACTCGGTACACCTGGCTCATACCAGCAGAAGCCACAGTGGCTTGGAGCTGGCCTCTAGAGCCACGGTGCCATGAAGTCCCTCGCATGCTGGGGGAACAAGCCCAGGCAGGGACGACTGTGTGAGAACACTGTGTCACCAGCCACATGTGTGGGCTGCGGCAGTGGACTTGGCTTCTACGTAGGGAGGGACCTGGGGACCTGAGGACCAGGAAGCAGGGGCAGAACAGATGGACGGGACTGGCTTCTCACTGTCAGTCCGTTGTGTTGTTTGAGTTTTTTCTCTGTGCAGTGGGCATTACTGATCCAGAGGGAGACAGTCCCCCAATCAAGCAGTCCCATCTAGTCTCAGAGTGAGGGATGCCTGTGTGGGTGGGAGGAGGGAGCCCGCTGACACCACCCACCAGGAGCGCAATGTGGAGTCGTCTGGGACCGCTCCGACCCTGACCTTGGACCCCTGGGGCCTTAGTGGCCAGGGCAGAACAGCTCCTTCCAGAACGGCCAATTCCTGGAGAATAAACCCCTTTCACATGCAAACAAGCTGTCTTCTGGAGCTCACAGGGCTCCTTCCCTAGAGCTGTCACAGTCCAGCCATTGTCACCCGGCCCGCCCCATTCCCTCAGGGCCAGGGACCAGACCCCTGGGCTCAGTCTTTACGCCTCAGCCTGCTGAACCCTCCCCAGCGGGCCGCTGTGAGGGTCCTGCCCATCCCATCCTGCAGAAACCATAATAAATGGAGGCCTCACTCTGTGCCCCTTGCCCGCTACCCCCTCCACTCTGGTGCCTCCCTTGGACCTCACCACACACCCAGTTATGATCCAGTCTACATTCTCACATGGCGCAGAGGGGCGGCCACTCAGGACCCTGCCTTCCACGTGCACTGAGAACCTGAGAGCCAAACCCAGGGCCTCTCATGGCCAAGAATGGCACCCCTGAGCCCCACACTTGTGAGGTGTCTTTCTAGTTTTTTTTTTCCTTCTGATAATACAAATGTGCTTGATCTGAGGCTGCTGTTGCTTATCAGATCAATATAGCTGTGCTTGTGAAATGAGTAATGGGTGATTTAGTGGTGAGTGCATGCACCATGCCTGACTCCCATCTTCCAGGAGCTGTGCTGATTTTCCAGACCCGTCCTCCTCCCATCCCTGTCACTGTCTGTCTCCTGCCTCTCTGTTCCCAAGGCCTGAGGGTATTGTAGAGTCAGTCAGTCAACCCTGAGCCCCACAAAGACCTAAAGCAGTCCCTCCCCCTAACAGGCAGTTTTGTCTGTGGTAGGTTTTTTTGTTTTTGTTTTGTTTTTTTTGGTACTGGGAATCAAACTCTGGCCCTTGCCCTTGTGAGGCAGGCAGTGGAACCACTGAATCAAATCCCTGGCCTGTAGTGGTTTTTGTTGTTGTTGTTTTTGTTTTTTTTTAATGTGTTGCCACAAGAAATATTTCAGAGATCACCAAGCACAGAGGGCACACCCATCATCCCAGCACTCAGTAGGCTGAGGCAGGAGGATCACCAGGAGTTTGAGACCAGCCTGGGTTGTATAGTGAATTCAAGACCAACGGGGACTACATAACAAGACCCTGTCTCAAAAACAAAACAAAACAAACAGACAGGAGGGGGGATGAAACAAGGAACGAAAGAAGGAAGGGAGGGAGAGAAGGAAGGAGAAAGGAAACAAGAGGAGGAGGGAGGGTAGGAGAGGAGGAAGATGAAGGTTCATGAGCATCTTCATCCAGCTTTTCTTTTTTTTCTCATTGAGTTTTTTCGTACATTTTAGGTATACATCACAGTTACATTCATCATTGGGATCTTGTACCTCTACATGACAGGTCTTGGTTCTCATTTTTTCCCCTTGTCCCTGCCCTCCCTTCACCCCTCCTCCCCTCCCCATTTACAAACACTTTATTTCCATTTTCTCATATTTTTTTTCCTTTCCCTTATTCCCTTTCCCCTACCCTTCCCACTTTCCCTACAGCTTTAGCCTATTTCACATGGTCCATTATATCATTAGGATCTTATGTACTATTAGTTTTTCACACCAGAGAACTATTCGGTATTTACACATGTGTGACTTGTTGATTTCACTTAGGAGTATATCCTCAGCTTTTCTTAATGGTACATCGTGTGAAACTCTGGGGCAGTGGTGGTGAACCTATGGCAAGGCACACGTGCCGCGGCAGATTGTGTCACTGAAAGTTCTAAAAGGTTCACCATCCCTGGTCTAGAATAAAACTCCAACGAGGATATTGGTGAAACCTACTGATCTTGCACAGATCTCAGTTTTACAGGACTCTGTGTGTGTGTGTGTGTGTGTGTGTGTGTGCATGTGTGTGCGCACATGTGCTGATCTATGTGACCTTATCATGTGTGTGGGCTTATCAGTCATGTAGTGGCTTTTTTACTACACAAATGGTAACTGTTGTATCCTGAATTCTTCCTTAATATTCCTCTTTTTATCAACCCAACAAAGGTCCTTTCCTCCCCAGGATTATAAAAAGCACCTCAACATTTCCAGAAGAAGATCCCTTTCATGGTGGCCCAGGGGAGTGGGGGGCTCTCCAGCCCAGACCCTGCTGCGTCACTGGAGCGCATGACCCAGACCGCAGATACCCTGCCTGGATCCTTGGGCCTGTCTTCATCAAGTGTCCCCAGTGCCACTAGACCATGGAGTAGGGTTCTGGGGAGGGAGGTACTCGGTGGGCATGGAAGGCTGAGACTTGAGTTGGGGGGGCGTGTCGCAGGGGCTCTCTTGAGAGCGGCAAACATTCAGGCTTTTGTCATCAGGGCAGGGGAAGCAGGTTTCAGGAAGAGCAGGATGGGGCTGCTTTCAGTGTACCCCTCTATTGGTGCTTGTGGGTGTACACATGTTCCCTGGGGAACCTCCTGCGCCTCAGTTTCCCTTCTCAGGCACTCATTCTGCTGCTACCCAGGGTTCAGCTGGGTCTACTCTCACTCCATGGCCTGGGTTCTCACAAATCCTCTCGACAGTTGTGAGAAAGGAGAAGATGGCCCCTTACCAGCCATAAGAGTACACAACACAGGTGCCCTCACACATGAGAGTGTGAAGCGCTGGTCCAGGTAACCAGAAAGAAAAGACACAGGTTGACTTCAGGTGTGGCTGCATGCAGGAGGTCAGCACCAGGCATCTGTTCTTTTTTTTTCAATTTGTAATCTCCCCTCTGTTGCAACCACTATGGAAATCAGTGTGAAATCTCTCAAAAAACTAAACCTAGAGGTTCCATTTGATCGAGCTATACCTCTTCTTTGTATCTTCCCAAAAGAATTAAAAGCATCAGACCATAGCAATATATGCACTCCCAAATTTATAGCAGCATAGTTTGTAATAGCTAAATCTTGAAATAGCCTGCCCATCAACTGAAAAGTCCATAAAAGAAGATGTGGATTTTTTATACAATGGACTACTACTCTGCCA